TGGTTAGCTACCATGAACAAGTAATGTTTCCTACAAGGCTTGCCAGGAAACAAAAGTAAACATAAAACCTGCATGTAAGTGTACACAAACAGCATGTAGTAGTTGTGAAGCTACACTCCTACGAAGCATGTTACACTGACTACACTAAAACAGACAAAAACTGCCTGAAAATTGTTCCCACTGTGGGTGCTGCTCATTGCAAGCACACAAAACAGAGCGGGTGATGTATTTGAAACATGAAACACCACCTCGTTTGCAAACTTTGTTTTCTGTGCCTTTTGTTGCTAGAACGTAGTCCTATGAGTTAGATGTAAAAAGGTTCTGTCAGTCAGTCAACAATTTGTTCTTAGGTCAATAAAAGTAATTCCAACTTTCTTCCATAGATTTGAAAGAAAAAGCCAGAATAAAACTTTTGCGCTAGTCTCAAGTTTGGTGCCTGAAAATAGGGCTTTCATTATTTCTTATGTAAGACTACATAACAAGCTATATAAAACACCAATACAACTTCTTTCTTTAGAGGACTCTGCCTTTGTCTAACAATGAGTCAGCATCAGCTGACAGATCAATTTTCCGTAAGTGTAGGATGTGGATTTTGCATATCACGCACTCCAAGGGCACCTGTTGGAAACTTGGGTCACTACAGCATGGAATTTCACACCACACCTAAGGTCAACTCAATGGCCTCCCAGTGCAGAGATGTACATCACAAAAACTCATCAATAGGAATGAGGCTGATACCAGATACCTCAAGTTTTCTGTCCTTCAGATCTGCCTTCCTATATAGGGGAAAACAATATTCCTTCATACTTTATTGGTTCTCTCTGAAACCAGTGTCTAGTTTTCACAGGATCATTCAGGTCAGAAGTTGACCTCAGGAGGCATCTAGTTCAAGCCCCTGCTCAAAGGTGGGTCAGCTGTGAGGTCAGATGAAGTTGCTCAGAGCTTCATCTACTTGAAAAACCTCCCAGGATTTCCCTCTTCTCCAGGTATCATGTTCCAAAACTTAATTTTCCTAATGTTGAAGAAGCTTTTCCTTGTGACCAGTCTGAACTTCTGTTGTTTCAATTTATGTCCACCATCTGTCATTCTGCCATGCACCACTATGAAGAGCCTGGCACTGTCTTCTCCATAACCTCCCCACAGGCCTGGGCAGGCTGCTGTTCGGTGTCCCCAAAGCCATCTCTTCATAGCCTACCTCCCGCAGCCTCTCCTCATGGGGGAGGTGCTCCAGCCCATGCCATTGTGGTGGCCCTTCTGCTGAACTTGGCAGTTTATCAGCATCTTTCTGACGCTGGGGGCCCAAAAGTGTACAGAGTGTTCCAGATGCAATCTAACACGTGCTGAGCAGAGGGAAGCAATCACTTTCCTCGATCTCCTGCCTGTGCTCCCTCTTATACAGCCCAGGATGCTCTTGGCCTTCTTTACTGCCAGGGCCAGCTGCTGGCTCACAGTCAGGTTGCTGTCTGCCAAGACCCCAAGGTCCATTTGAGCAAAGCTGCTCCCCAGCCAGGCAATCTCTGGCCTGTATTATTGTAAACTCCCCAAAATCTTCCAGTATCAATTCTGTAGTGATGGCCGGGACACCCTCCCCATGCCACACACAGCAGACGCTCCCAGATCTCCAAAGATCATCTGGAATAGTAAGCCAGGATTAACTTCATAAAGACGTGAAGCTGTGGTAGTGTTAATGCACTTTTCCCAGTATCTTTACAAACAAGTGTACTATTTCCTCCATATTTTTGTATCTGAAAACGAAGACAGCTGCTGTGAGGTGTTTCTTTCCTCCAAGCACGGTTGTTTATAGTAAAGAATGGTAGGCTTTGATCAGCCGCTTGTATTCACTAAATTGATTCCAACATCTTTGCCAGTGGGCTGTATGGATTCTCAGCACGAGATGCTCGTGCTCATTTGAAGTGGCTGAGATATTGTTTTTCAATTGAATTTTCCATTATGCTCTCTGCTATCTTTCTTCAAAGCACAATTTGTTCACTGGGCAGCACTCCTTGTTCAACACAGTATGCAGAATCATTTTATATCTTGCTCAATACTTTTGTTTCCTTCCCATGATGCTTTACCTCCATTTATTCTCTCCTCTCAACCAAAGTTTCCTCTTGCAGCTCTCTCACATGTAAGCAGCTGGTATGTTGGGTTTTTCTCCCCCATCCTCCTCCTCTCCAGTATTAAAAGTTTGGAGGGAGTCAGGACTTCTCAGGGAAGATATAATGTCTTTTTCCAACAGCATTTGCCTCCCCCCTCCTGTATTTTTTTTTACTGAAAGCTGGGGTGCTAAATAGCAGAGATACAGGAATCCTGCATGCCCTACTATTCTTGTGTGAGCGCTCCCCTAAGGAGATCACTAACACTGTTGTTTAAACAGAGATGTTTAAACCTCAACAGCAGGGGATGGACAAATCAGCACATCGATGATAGAGGGGAAAGGAATCCACCTCTCCAAGCCCAAAACTAATCCTTTGTCCATTAGACAGCCATTGCAAATTGGTGGTTTTCCCCCCTTTTTTTGTGTCAGAGTCCAACAAAAGATTCACAACTTTACTGATTGAGCTGCAGGCTGTAAAAGAGCACGTAAAGATTTACAACAGCCAGTCCAGCAACACAACATACAAGAATTAGTGGGGTCATGCATCAGGGAAACATTATTTCTTTCTCAAGAAAAAAGAGCAATTTCAGCTCTCCTGCTTTATTGTGTTACTTGTTTTTAACTATCACAAGCTGTACCTCTATTAAACTGGCAACATTCACTAAACTAGACACAGGTAAAGTACTGTAAAACCAAACATACTTAAATCAGAGTTTATATCTCTGATTAAGGTTTACTTCTAAGTGTGATTAACTGTTTGATACCAATGCACATGATAACATAAAGTGGGCTAGCATATTCAAAGAAATGGCAACTAAAATAAAAAGTTTCTACAGTCAGGCAATATCAGGCTGCAGAAATACAGCTGCTATCAAGTACAAAAAACAGAAAGATATGAATTTAAAAGAATTATATGACTGAAGATGTACACCATCTCCCACAGCAAAAGTTTCCAATTTAGTAAGTCTGAGGTACTGCAAATTTTAAGCTGTACCAGGGAATCTACTATGAAGATCTAACCACTTTTCCAGCAACATACAAATCTCAAATTAAGACATCTCAATTAAACAAACAAACAAAAAAAAATCCATAAGCAAAGCCCAAACATTTCACTCTTAAGTTTTCTTAGTCCACTAGTTTAAAAAGCAAACAAACAACAACAAAATCCAACCCACTCCCCAAAGAACTTGAGATGCACTGGATGCAGTTTTTCTAGGAAAAAAACCCTAAACCCAAACCAGACCCCATGACTGACTTTCAAATGCAAATGGGGCCTCTCAGGTCCCCCCAGGACATGGGCATATCTACAAGGCTTAGTAAATCACCACAGCCCAGTTATTCTTAATAAAGATGCCAGTACAGAACTGGGGCTGTGCTATGTCCCGTTCACCTCCCCAACTGGATAGTACGAGAGCTTCACAAAAGCACACTAAATTCATGACTACAGATATGCAAATTTGACAAAATGGTATTAAATATTTCATTAAACACCAGTCTGATTCAATACTTTAGTTTTAGCATTTGTAACAGGTGGGAACAACTTTGTATTTTTTAATCCTCAAGACAAGCTGCATACAAGATGTGTCCTGTGCCATGTTATACTCTTCCTTTCACTGCTTGCAGTTTGGTGAGCATCTTATGCCTTAAGTTAATGACAGTATATTCAGTATATAGAAGTAGGTAGCTTTGATCAGGAAATGAGTAGATACTACGTGGCAATAAACAGCATCCTACAATAATGCAAAGCTGCTAACTCAAGAAACCAGAAAGTTAGTAACAGTTCAACTCCAAGCTGTTGCATCGAACCCTAAATTATCTGGTGGTTTATTGGTTTTGTTGGGGTTTTTTTAATATAAGAAGTGATGGTGGTATTTCTACAGTCATAAGATGATGAACAAAAAATTTATTCAGTGATTTAGTGTGTGAAGATACAAACATATTCTCTAGAGCACGTTGGGGACAACAGACCTCTTGCTCCTTATGAACATAGCATTCACGTGGCAGCCACTGCTTACACTGAAAAGCACCATTATGTAATAAGTCATTTTCAGCTTCCTCATTGCTAATTTCTTCCCAGTCATCCAATGCTTCCTCATTACTGCCTGCTTTAGAGGTGCTCACCAGTTGCCACGGGAATGCAGAATATCAGCAGAAGCACAGAAATGACAGGAGCGGGTAAGAGTAAGCACGTCAGTGGCAATCATGGAGTCAAAGACCCATTTGTGAATTACAAACAATAATAAATGCCAGTATCAAATACCTGCAGATTTATTTTTTTTTTAATGAGATGCCAATGGCAAGAACACTTACTCTGCAAACATTATAGAGTTTACTCATCCTTTTACTTCCTCTGTAAAGGGTGATGAACCAGGCAAGCAGTAATACAAATGTTTAATTACCATTTCTGTTCCTTAAAACAGATGGCACCACTGTATTCACAGCATTGTCTAGCACTGTCTCCAAGGAACTCAGGCAAATTCAGGTATGGCTGTGTTTGAGCCTTACAAAAAATACACAAAGAACATAAAAGTTTGAAATTATGAGTGAGCAAATTACACAAATAGTCTTCGTATATTTTCCTTCTGAATTCCCTTTAGGGACTGAGGCCTGTGTAATCAAGATAACAAATCAGACTGAAGTCAGACATATTTATGAATAGAAAAGCAAGCTCAGAAATTAGCATTTTAAGGCAAGGAAACATACATCAATACATGTAAATCTCGAACAGAACCAGATTCCACAATAGAAGCATTTCTCCTACAAACCCTGCGGTTGGAGCTGTGATAAAAGATGTTGTTACTGACGATCAGAGCATCCAGAGTCCCACAGGAGCCGGGCTGGGTGTCCCAGCCCTCGGTGGATACAGAGGTTGGGCTCTGCAGGGGCGTGCTGCCTCCTGGCGCTAGGAGCCTGGAAGGGGCTGGCTGTGCGTGCCGCTCCTGGTCTTCAGCTGAGACTGGGCGATATCTGCCAGGGCACTCTGTATCTTTTCCAGCAGCATATCCCCACGATAAACTACCTCTTCCAGACGGGCAGCTGCTTCATGATTTTCTTCTTCTAATCGATACAGACTAGCAGCCTTTAAAATAAAAGGGAGAAAAGCAAGGATCTTCAAATACAATACAAAATCGACTTTGCTGCTGAAGGATGGTGATGGAACAGTTAGTGCTCCCTAGGAAAGAGAAAACTTCTCTTTTAGCCCCCGAATTATATATTAGCAACTTCAAAGCAACTCATTATAGGTTGCATACACAGTGCATATCCACATGGACTACACACAAAAACCCCACCAAACAGAGATGTCAGCTGCTTTCCTATTACGACTCTCAGCTGAATACAGATTCCCTTGATGAGAAATATTTATCGCCCTCCCCACTCCCTTACTGAAAGGTGCTCAGTAAGATGTAAGCATAACTTATTTAAACCTTCCCACTAAGTAGCATATTTCAGATGAAACTGTATTATTTAACTATTTTTTTCCCAATATTCTGTTTCAGAACCAAACTGCTTTTCAGTTAAGAAAATTTAGTGAAACATAACATTTGAGCTTCAAAATTCAGATAACATATTTACCACACTTAAAACTACTAAACTTGTAAAATAACGGAAAGAACCAAAACAAAATAGTTAAAAATGGATTTTTTTTTAAGCAATTACCCAGGTCTATATACAGGTCCTTAAGAAGTCATGCTTAAACAGGCAAATTCTATACACATATTCATCTTCTGTTCAGCAACACTGATGTTTTTAGTGAAGGTTAGTATTTGCATGAAGGACTTGACAGCTTTGCAGGAAGAGGCAGAAAAGGAAAATAGCAAAAGGTAGAAGTTTGAAATTTAGAATCCAGCTCAATTACTTCAGTCTCAGTTATTAAACAGTTGACTGCAGGTAAGCCACAGATTTGAACAGAATATGTACTACCAACTTCACCACAAGGGAACTCAAAAGGGAGGGGTAAATTGTGTTGGGCATTAGTGTAGCAGCCTCTTTTATCATTTAAAATAAGGCTCAGATTTGCAACATATACCAAGAGAGTCTTAGTATTAAAAAACAGAGAAAACAGATTGGCCTAAGCACATATCTATCAGCCAAGTATCTATCTACCACTTCTCATCAAAACCTATACTGCATTTTTTAGACTGTTTCAAGCACCTTCAAAACAGTCTTTTTAAAGAATGTCAGAATTTTTATCTTTAATATTGCTTCAAATTAAACAACAGAAAATAAAAGTCAAAACTAGAATCAGCACGTGATGGAACACAGGCTAACTTATCTCAAAACTACACCAAACAGAGAAGATCAGAAAATCTTATGAAATGAGATTCTGCATTAACACAGCAAGAAACTGTTAGAGCATCACCTCTAAGGAAAGCATGCTCCTACGGGATAACCAGCTCCTCTTCCAGGAGCACCCTGCTCTCCCTGCATCAGCTGTCCCTACAATCACACCTTGCTTTGTCATGGAAGAAGCCTGTAATTTGTCTGCAGCAGGAAAACTGTCTTCAGCTCTTGGGCTCAATTACTACGTTCAGCGATTAATTGTGACTAGCAACATTTCCAAATTTAACCTCCTCTGTTTAAAACCAATATGATGTCACTGTCAATTTATTTGTATTTGGCCCAGCAGCCACCTCTAGTATTAAGTCTTTTGTTAAATGCCTTTGAATAGTTACAAATTATCAACCCAGGTGTAAAAACTTCAGGTGATCTTAAAGCAGTTCCAGGGTTCTCAGAGAAACAGCACTCTGCGGGCTGGTTGCATCCTAAAAATAAAGTAATTGATGTAAATCCAGAAGACAGGGTTAAAAAGAAAAAGATGCTGTTTAATAGGCAAGATCTGTAAAAATAACAGCAAAAAAAGCCCCAAACAAACCAACAACAATACAAATCCCAAAACAAACAAACCAAAAAGCCACAACACAGTGGTGTTCTTCAAATTGTGGATCCAAGACATTTTTTGGAAGTGAGAAACAGCTGAGTACTGTGGAAGGATTTACAAGCTGTTTGCAGCAGTTCAGCGCCTGTGAGGCTGGGAATGGACATCATGATACTGGCTGCACCTGCTAATAGCTGCCTGGCCAGCAGCTGCTTCCTGTTCCCAAGCTCTTCCTAGGGCACCTCTGGTCTGAAGAGAGAAGGAGCAAGAAACAAGAGCACCACGTTTGGCTGGTCCAGAGAAGGACACCCAATTACTGATAACTGAAAGAATTGGGTTTTTGTGACAGAGCTGGAGAACTTAAAGGATACCCTGAAAACCCTTTAACAACCAGAAACACTGTGGAAAAACAAGAGGCTTCAGTGAAGTGTTTGCTCTCCAGCTACAAAACGAAACACACTCCTAACGTGGGAGAGAATGTGAAAGACTACCCAAGGAAAAAACCCACAACAAACCCACCCCGTACATCAGTGCTGTTGCATTTGTTGTACTGATATTTGAACAGCTGGGGAAAAAAAGAAGAGGTAGCAGTTTCCAGTATTGTTATGTATTTCCAGTACCATAACATTCCAGTGTTATGATAAAAGCACTTTTTCTGGAAAAAATTCTAAGTGCAAGATGCATGTTCAGTATTTCCACTAAGCCTATGAAGTACTCAAGCTACTCCTGTAAAAAAAATCAGGCTTACATTGAAATCATTCTTCAAGATTACATGGCTTAGAGAATAAAAAATGTGTTTTTGTTTTTTTTTTTTTAAAAAAGAAGTTTGCCTTCAGTTATGTTTTGATTAATTAAGAACACTCTTACCTACCTGCAAAGCTGCTGTGGATTCTTCACTAGGCAGAGAATCTATTAAAACATCAATATCTTTCGCCGTCCGTGCGATCAGCGCCGCGAACAGTTGGGCGTACTCTTTAAAAAAGAAAAGGCAGCCCACTCAGTACACTGTTAGAAACAAGCACAATTCTGCACAGAAAATTCTCAAGACTTGACACATACAGGTTTAAAAAATCCACATGAAGTAAACAACAGTATCACAACTGATGAGAACTCAACCACATTAGAAGGTTGCCCAAGGAAGCTGTGGATGCCCCCTCCCTGGAAGTGTTGAAGGCCAGGCTGGATGAGGCTTTGAGCAACCTGGTCTAGTGGAAGGTGTCCCTGCTGATAGCAGGGGGGTTGGAACTAGGTGATCTTTAAGGTCCCTTCCAACCCAGACCATTCTATGATTCTATTCTATGATTCTATGATTAAGGTGGTTTGATTCCAATCTGAGATCAAACGAGGTAACCAGTTATACAAAGGACAGCTTTGTACAAACGAGAAGACAGCTAGAACTCCACCACAGTTAGCCAGTTAAGAAATGACTAGTGCCACTGTTAAGTGTCCTAGTCACCGTATTAAGTATTGAGAAGTAGGTAGAAACTCATTTTAACTTTTCCATCCTTGCCCTGAAATCTGCCACTAGACAAAGAAAGAACACTAGAAACAACAGAGAGATTCAAAGAGATGGATTATTTAAATCATGTTAAGCAACAGATCATTAGTGAAAGTATAAGGGCAACTAATGACAAAACAAGGGGAAATGGGTTTAAGTTGAAAGAGGGCAGGTTTAGATGAGATATTAGGAAGAAGTTTTTCACTTTGAGGGTGGTCAGAACAGGTTGCCCAAGGAAGTTGTGGATGCCCCCTCCCTGGAAGTGTTGAAGGCCAGGCTGGATGAGGCTTTGAGCAACCTGGTCTAGTGGAAGGTGTCCCTGCTGATGGCAGGGGGATTGGAACTAGATGATCTTTAAGGTCCTTTCCAATCCAAACCATTCTATGATTCTATAATTAAGCATTTGAGGGTTTTTAATTTAAAAAAATTCAGCCACAGAAAAAGTTAAATTGCCCCTGAGAAATGGAAAAGGATTGGAAGTTTATAACAGACCTTAATTTGGCTGCTGTGTCACTGAAAGAACTCCATGGACTTTTAATAAGAGGCACCATGAGCTGAAGCAAAACACTTCCATGTGGAATTACATCCATTCAATTTGAATTAAGTTCACTACTACAACTAAAATATTGAATCCATTTAAAGCTTAACTCAGAGCCATCACAGGGATTACCTGGAAAGATTTTAAGGTCTTCATGTTCAGACTTTAAATATCAAAAGGCCTCATCAGCATCACTAACGTGGCTGTGTGATTTTACTGAAATCACTATACTCAGAATTTTAGGAAAAGACGAATCAAAAGAGAAGTCAGTCATGACCTACCATTTTAAGACCTTAACAAAGCCTCTAGCTCCTGGCACCACACTGATGCCAGCACCTGGGACAGCAGGAGGTAAGATGAGGAAGCAAACAAGCCTTCCAGCTGGCTCTTCCAACTAATGCCAGTACCAGAGGGCCAACCAGCACAGAAGAACTAGTATTCACCTGTCCTAGAAAGTGCATCGCTGCGCTCTAACCAGTCTCCCCGATATCCTAACAGACAAACCTGATCTGATACAAGATATATGGAAAATTTTCTTGGGGAAAGACAAAAAAGGGGCGGGGGGTAGGGAGGGACGGTGGAGAAAGGAAGAAAAAAGATTCAGGATTAGAATCACTTGGTTATTTAAATACTACCTTGAAATTCTCAAGTGAGAGAGAGCTTTCAGTTTGCTTGCTAATTTCAGTGTCTTTCATCAGCTTCTTGTCTCTCAAAAAAACCCCAAAACCAATTAAAAAACCCCGAACAGCTGGCAACAAAGCCACAGATAGCAATGGGGAGATTCAACATGACATTATTCCTTAATTAATTACAAAGTAGATGATCCATGGAGAAAGACAAATAATTAAAAGTGTAAGACATGGAAATTTTTAAACTCATAAATTTCATAAAACTAACACTAATTCTCTCTAAAAAGACTTCTTGGAAGTAACTCACTAACGACCTCTTGAAGCTGTCCTATTAAAATGGTTTATATCTAAGAGATACTTTCTTTGTATCTGAACAAAGAAACCAGCACAACAAGCACATTGTAATGCCTATTTAGCACTTAAAATTACATTTCTGCTATCACAGTCTTGTGCAGCTGACATCAGCTATGACTTGAATTCAATCACTCCTCCAGTTACTCGTGGAATTGTTTGCTGAGCACAGAGTAGAGTATAAATTTTGTATTTGTCCTGGTTTTTAGCTGGAACAGAGCTGGGTTTCTTTTTAGTAGCTAGCATAGTGCTGCGTTTTGCTTTCAGCCTGGGATTTGTTATGAGACAAACTCTGACAACACACCAGTGTTTGCAGTTTTGTTGCTGGAAGTGAAGGACTTTGTGTTCTGTTAGTCCACAAGTGCAAGATCTAAGGGGGCGAGGAGAATTTAAATTAATAAGGTAAATTGCATTTGGATATGCCAGTGGGATATTCCATATCATATCACGTCATGTCCAGTATATTAGTGAGGGGCTCTTCCTCTCTTGACCTCTCTGGCTTTTGCTCGGGCTCTCGCTCTCCCGGGATTGCGGTTTGGGTTCGGGATTGTCGCTCCTCCGGGATCGTTATCTGGGAACGGGCTGGGCTTGGTCAGCAGATGGTGAGCAGCTGCACTGGGTATCACTCATTTGCATATTTTGTTACTGTTATCATTATCACTATTATTTCAATATTAGTATTATCTTAAGTTTTCTTTTATTTCCATTATTAAACTGTTCTTATCTCACCCTACAAGCCTCCTTAACCTTGCCCCCAATCCTCTCCACTGTCCCCTGGGTGTGGGGGGCAAGTGGGTGAATGGCTGTTGGCTGCTGGCCAAGGACTAGCCCAGTGGAACTATCTCAGTACTACAGCGTGTAGGATGCCACAGGGCGCTCCCGCAGGGTTATCAGATGCAGAGACTTGCCTTCTGTGGGATTAGCAGGCTGATCTTTGTTTATCGCTGTCTGAATGTTGCTGAAAGAGGCGGGGGGGCCACACTGCTGCAGCACTCCGATGGCGTTACAGAACTGGTCAGCGAGCTGCGGGCAGGAGAGACACCGTCACTTTATTTCAGCACTGAAGCTATTTCCGTTTTATTTCGTATCCCAGCGTGCCCCACGCAGCAGCCCACGATCCCCCCGCGTTCGGTTGGTGCATGCCCCCGTCGCCCGTGGCAATACCCCCCACCTGGGGGCTGCCAGCGCCAGGGGCTGCGGGAAGAGGGATCGCACCCCCTCACACACA